GCAGCAGGATCTATCATTCAAATGTTTTATATATTAAAAAAAAATCTGATGGTGCACTAAATTGTATTGCACTTTTTAATATTTATGACACTAAGCTGTTTACCAGCATCAGCATTCAGGTTGAAGGCACTTGCAAACCCCTAACATGGTAAATGCTGAAAGAATCACTCAATTTTTTTTTTTTCCTGGCATTTGCATTTCCCTGAAATAGAGATTTCTTATTGCATCTTCTGCACCTGCTGTGAAACTTAACTTCTGTTATCTTAGAACCAATTATAAACTTGATTGCAGCACAATCTACAAGAGTGAGAGATAGTTCCTGCTCCAAAAGGAGTTGACATTGAAAAAGGCTTATTGCCTATGAATGCAGGAAAAACCTGTTTTGATCCTTCTGTGGGGCTGCAGTAAATGCAAGGACATGCAAAACTTCCAGCAACCCCAATCTGCTTTCTGGATGGTTTTGGTACACAAAGAAACTCTGTAAACAGTAATAGACTGACTGGTCAGGAGAACCTTAAAAGAAATGTTTCTCTTTGTAGAAGAAGAAATACTATGATCTATGAGACAGATTTTTTAGAATTATAACTGCTGCCTCTAAAGTTGTGCAAAACTGCTTTCCCCAGCATCTGGTGTGTCACCATTACCATTAATATCTGTCAGGATGGTTACAGATTCTGATTTTGGAAAAAAAAAAAAAGAAAATAGCAGCACAACAGAAGTGCATCTGCTTTTGATATTGGAGTTTAACAGCTCCTCTGAACTGTATTTAGTGCTGTCAGTGCAGAAAAATATTCACTGCATTTTATTAGAGTAGGCCTCCTGCTTTCCTTTTCCCTTTTGGCAGCCCATGGATATTCCTAGCTTGTCCTTAATGCAAATACTTTGAACTTGGATGTGCTCATTTGGGGATAACTTAGATCAAAGCCTCCTGAAAGCTTTGGGTTTATTGGATTCCACCTCAGTTAAAGACCTGCACTGGTCAGTCTCTTACTCCTGAAGTGTTCCCTGATTTTTTCTGTGCTGCCAAGAGAAACAGCAAAGGAAACCTCTTCACAGTGCACTCACTTTTCTTGATAAATACAGGTCCAGGCTTGTCAGCCACAAAAGTTTCATGAAGCTGAGCTCAGGATCACAGGCACCATTAACCTTTTCTTAGATATTGCTGGGGCAAATGTTCCACAGGAACATTACATGAGCTCTCAGCATGTGGGCAGAGCCTTGGAACATAAGATGGAACATGATGAAACCGGTAAAATATTCCGATAAGATCAATTAACAGAAGGTTTTTACTTTTTGTGGCAAAATCACAAGTGGGTAGCTGTTGAGTCATAGATGGCATGATCAGAAAAAGAAGAAATCCAAAGAGTGAAGGTCCTTGTGCAGATAAGCATGCCCAGAACAGGACAAAGGTACAGAATAACACTTTTTTTGCAGTCCTGTCAAGACACCCACAACCTCACAGTGCTGGAAAATATCACACAAACTGAGGATAGTACAGTCTGTTCACTAAAAATCCACCAAGCACCATGCTGAAGACCAGTAGGCTGATGAAATGGAATACTAAGTGTGGCTTTGGGCTGTCAGGTGCACCGTGGAAAGGATGGATTTTTCCCATAGGCATATTGCATAGTCATTTACACCCACAAATAGTGAATATATCACGCAGCTATTCCGAGTTAACAGTGTTTTTCACTTATTCTGCAAAGGCATAAATGATGACTCATGCTGTAGGACAAATGAGAGGAATGAGCCCTTTATTAACAGCCAGATTTAGGGAATGTGTTCCCTCTTGCATTGAAATTAGTGGCTCTCTTTCTAATGACTCTGGAGTTCACACTGGTGAGGGCCCCATTCTTCCAACAGCTTTGTGAGACTTAATTTGTCAAGACTTTGGCTGAGATCAGGGAAAAGCTGAAGCATTTTTTTGAGATGCCAGAAGTGAGAGCTCTTTTGCATTCTGATCTTCTGACAGGTTTTCTCTGATCCAGTATCTGCCATTATTTAAATAGCTCAGTTGGCATGTGTGGCATTCTGCAGGCTAGTAAGAAGTCAAGAAACATGCTCTGAGGACTTACATCATCCAAAAATTGGCATATAATTTAATGAGAAAGGACAAAATAAAGCAAGATAAATAGAAAATTGCTCCTGGGAATATTCCACTATATTTTTAATTGCAAACAATGCAGATCATTCAGGCTCCCTCTATTTCAGATTTGTTTCTTTTTTTGAATGATTAGACAAGCAAGAGAGAAAGAGGTCAGGCTCAGCAACCCAAAAGTTCCCCTAAGAAGGATGAAATAGAAGCTACAAAGAGAATAAAAATTTTGGAACCAAGCCCTCTTACTCTCCTGCCCTGCCTTTCCTTTATGCTGCCAAAAAAGAACAAACCAGGAGATTTCAATGGGAAAGCTTTTTTATTTCCTGAAAATTGAGGTATCTTCAAGGTGATGCAAAACACACCTGCCCTTGGCTCGCACCTTTCCTGGGAGGTGCAGGATGAAATTGGATGGAGCCCATGCCCAGGGGCTGCTGCTGTGACATTTGGGGTCTTCACTGCTGCTGCAGGACACCCCAAACACCCCCAGGAACCTCCTGGGACCAGGGGAGCTGACTTGTGCTTCCCAGCTGCTCCTTTCCCTCCCACTCAACAGATTTTTCCCTCCTTCTCCTGAAACACAACTCAGTGTACATTTAGCAAACACATTCCCACTATCAAATTTTAATAGGCTTTAATTTTTCTCTGTCTTTGCATCTCCAAAGAAGGTGACATGAATTTCGCTGGCAATCATATTCTGAGTAACCCAATTAGTCCTGAAATACAGAACACGAACATGGTGTGTTTCTACATCTCATTTATTATTCTTGTGGGGATTTTTTTTTTTAATTTTAAAAGCTTCTTTTTTTTTCTTCTGGCAATTCCTTGCTGATTATTAGATATAAAAAGATTATATGGATGTATGTAAAAGCCTGTTTATTTTATAAACTACAGATATAATTTTATTTCAAGGTATAAGACTGGCAAAGAAAAAGGCAAGAAAGCATACATGTTAGCAGTATGAAAAAAATAATGCTTAAACTACCAGTGAGTTGCTCCTCACCTACCCTGACTCCAAATGCAAGAACATAAAATAGGGCTCAATTATAGGCCAACAGTTTCACATACCTCAAAGTAAAAAAAACACAAAATAAAAAAAGTAAAAAATAAGCATACAAACAGATTCCCTGCAGCAGATTATTCCAAGATTCATATGGAATTCAAAAAACACAGGGATTTTTAAAGGTACCATAGCATGTACTCCACAGAAGGAACATACATGAAACTTGATGTCTTCAAGACTTCTTAGGGCTTTGAGTTTTCATTATAAATTGCTTAAAAAATATGGTGGAAATTAGTACCACCCTCTTCAACATTAAATTATAAAGTTGGTTGTAGAGAAGACTTTTCTTCTCCTGGATTGTGCATACACTCCCGTTGGAGATATAATTTGTCTCTTTTGGTATGAACATTTTTCTTGGCTTTGGTATAAGATCTGAGATCTTCTTCCAAGGTGGGAATTAGGTGCAGCCCTTCAGCCTGGTAAAATGAGCACGGGTGTGGGTCAGCAGTGAGCTGTGACCCCAGGTGCTGAGGGCACACAGGGTCACAGCAAAACTCTGTAAAAGGAAGGGAGATTCACTTGTGGGGTGGAGAATGTGACTAATGCCACTCAATATTAGATTTTAATTAGCAGATGGAGTTGTTGTTACCTGTCGTGAAGCTCTGCTAGACTTAAAATAGAGCTAGTGAGCAGTGAAGGAAAAAATTTTGGGGTTTTTTGCTGCCCTAAAGGTGTTCCTACATGTGGTGGGGGGGACAGGAACATGATGTGTGAGGTCCCTCCCAGCTGTGTGCACAGAAAGCAAAGAGCTCCTCAGAAGACATTTTGCATGGAGGCAAAGGCTGACTTTCCTCTCTGATCAGATCTGAGGTCAATGACTCTCAAACACAATTTTCCTGATGGAGCAGACTTTTCCTGTTCCTGTATCTTTTATGTTTTCTCCAACCTGATTTTCAGGCTTGCAGTGATAATGACTCCTATTTCTGTTTTTGTTTTTTTTTGTTTTTTTTTTTTTAATCACAGAATTTAAAACAATTTAGTTAAGGACACAGACAAACAGTCCCCAAGAGAGGACTGGGACCAGGAGATATATGCCAGATTTTCTCTTATAATGAGATTTCAAAGCTCATTTCTTGGCATAAAGCTTCCATATCAAAAAAGATGTTGCCACTTTTTCATTTCTTGTAATGGTAGAAAGAGAATGTTTGGAATATAGAAAAAACTTCATATTGGATTTGCACCAGGAAATGAAGCCAGGGGATCTGGCCAGGAAATACATGCTCTGAAAAATGGGCACATCCAGAATGGCAGTAGCTGAGGGGTAAAATAGTGAGGATTTTAAGATTTTTTGCAGTATGAATAGCTCCATGAAATATAATGAATTCCTGACAAGTGGTGTGGTTGTTTTTTTTAAGCAGCTCTGAAAACTTTCCAGGATCCACTTCTAATTCTGTCTATTTTGCAAACAACCACAGGGCAAATTCAGGGCAGCTCTGTTCTGGAGAGATGCATTCTCCAAACGGGGCTGCTAATATTAACATATCCCCCGAGCCAAGTTTGCAAGTCTGAAGATGCCCTTGTGAAGCAATGAGATGCTAAATAAATCAAACTATTATCTCTATAATCTGTCCTGTGTCCAACATTGGGAGAAGCAGGTGCATCCTCTCAAAAAGCTTTCATAAAGTGTTCTTTCTTTGCATTTTTAGACACGATTACTTTGCAGTGAACGGATATATTTGGGAATTTTATAAATAAATTACATGATAGAACAATCATAAATAAATGCTAGAAGCTACCACACAGGCTTCAAGAAACTATTAGAAAAGGAATTATTATTTCTTTACTTCCAAGCAATAGCAGCATGGTCTCTAAATGCATTTGCACACTTGTTTTTTCTCTTACCAGCTGTTGCCCTTTTGGACCCCAACCAGCATACTGAAGCTTTGCATTGCTGACCTCAGGGGGATACAAATTCTGGGGATCCCTGAAAAAAGAGAAAAATAAGATTTCAGCTTCAGAAATGTCCTTGTTTAAGCTGCTGCACACGTGTGCTTTGGAAATACACCACAAACTTATAAGATGCCTTTCAGCCAGGTTTCAGTAGACTCATTACACAGTAAGGTAAACACTAGCAAGTGTTGGTAAGATCAAACATTTAAGTGACAATTTCTGTTTCTTATTAATAAAAAGCTAAACATATTAGTTCCACTGCTGACTTGCCTAAGCCTTAAGAATTAGTTCAGGGATGGCAAAGAATAAAATTGTGTTTATCAACTCTGAAGATGCCCACAAAGGATAAACAATAATTATATCTTTAAATCCTACTGCCACAAGAAAAATAAAATTTTGTCTTCTGCTCCCATTGACTTTTTTTGCCTCATAAATTTCCTTTGAATATGATGACAGAAAAGATTAGCAACTGTATGACAACTGATATGAAGCCTGGCTTCCAAGAGAAAATCTCCTATTAACTCAAAATACCTTTTTTGTTTGTTTGTTTGTTTGTTTTTGTTTTAGAAAACAAAAGCAAAATGCTTTTCTTGTTCTTTCATCCATTACCTTCATTTTGTAGCAGAACACAAGTGACACACAGCAAATGCAATATAGAAGAAGGAGGCTTTTTTGGTAAATGTCAAAGCAGCATAATGTCATTTTCTCCCAGCATAGATAGCATTGCCTTAACTGTATTTATACTCAGCACAAATAATTACATTACATATTCTGAAGTCACATTGCAACAACCCTGTGTATCATAATATCCTACAAACAAGAACTCTAATAAAGCCTGTATAAAATGTTCCTCATTAGAATATCTCAAACTGCTTGAAAAAGTAAGGGTATTATCATCACTGGTTACAGGCAGGAATAACAAGGCAATTTGAGGCCAACATCACCAAAAACCAGAGAAAAGAGCCAAACTCTGTCTGGCCTTTAAGCAAAAGGCCCTTCTTGCACAGTTTCCAGACCATGTTTTCAAAACAGAACAAAGCTGAATGCAATAATTCAGCATTAAGTGAATTCTCTTTGTTTCCTGGTGCAGTCCCCAGTTTCAGTCCCTGGGCTGCTCATTCCTTCTGCACTGGGGCTGTTGGAGCAAGGACAAACACAGCAGCAAGGGGAATGCTCAGAACTGATTTTGTGCAAATGTAAAAAAACTCTCATTTCCTCTGAGCTGTTCAAAGCCAGCCGGAATCAGGGCAGGCCCAAGGTGAGGACCCTGATGGCCACAGGTTCTCCCTTCCATCACTGCTGCAGGTGGAACCCTCCCAGCAAAGCTGCCAGCTTTGATGGAGATGGGATGAGCTGAGGATGTGGAGGGGCAGGAAGGGTTTGTTGAGGCACTGACACTCCAAGTCTGAGTGTACCACAAGGTGCCCACATAGCTTTTGTTTCTACGTGCAAAATGTCATCCACAGCTGCTGCCTGTAGAGCAAAATTGTACCTTTTCTTATGTTTTTTTACCTATAAGGTGTCCTAGTGAGCAGCCTACAGTTGTTTTTGTAAGTTATGGATAAGTGAACACATAATGCTCATACTGAGAGCAGCCACAAAATTCCCCATTCCTGTAGGAAGATGAGCCACACAGCTTGTTCTGGCTTGTGTGGGTTAGCTACTTGAGTTTCCAGTCAGCTATGCCTGTTAGGAATCAGTCTCTCTGGTTAGCTATCCTGATTACCTTAGCAGAGAGTAACCTGGGAGGGAAGTAGGAAAAGAGAAAAACAGCTAATCAAATCAAAACCTCTTTTGGGAGAAAAAATAGCACTTCAATATTTGCCAAACAAGCTATCTACTTCTTGGGTTATTTTACCCATGGTGAGAAGAAGAGCAAGAAATTACAAATAGAGGGGGAAATACCATCCCCAAATAAACAGATTATACAAATGGTAAGAATTTAAAGCTCTAATGCTTCAGATAACACAGGTGGAATTAAGGGACAGACATGCCAATTACAGCAAATAATTCAGACCAGAGCAGAGACTAGTCTTGTCAGTTCTGCTCACTGCATCATCTTTTAGAAGAGGAAAGCTCTAACAGAATGAAAAATGCTCCATAAACCAGCTTTGGTAGCTGGTAAGGCAGAAAGAAAAGCAAAGAACTGTGCTGCAGACAAAAACAAAACAAAACAAAACAAAACAAAACAAAACAAAACAAAACAAAACAAAACAAAACAAAACAAAACAAAACAAAACAAAACAAAACAAAACAAACAAACAAACAAACAAAAAACAAACAAAAACAAAAACCCACAAAAAACCCAAAACAAACAAAAAACAAACAAAAAACAAAAAACAAAAACCCACAAAAAACCCAAAACAAAACCCCCGAAAACAAACAAACAAACAAACAAACAAACAAAAAAACAAACAAAAAAACCCAAACCCACAAAAAACAAAATTATCTTCTCATTCTTTGGTATAGCCATCTCCTGAGTTCTTACTAAAGTTGTTTCATACGGTTGGGAAGCTTCTTTTATAGCAAAATCTTGTGTACATCCATCCTCATGCTGTGAGCTATTCCCTGAAACCAGAGGCTATGAAAGCAGACCAAGATCCCAGTTTTCCCTCAGAAATGCTCCTGAGTGGTGGACATATTAATCTAGGCATTTTTTGGCTTGTTTCTCATCTTTTGAGGAGAATCTTCTTCCCTGAAGCAGCCACACTCACTCACCCACCTGCAGCAAACTTCAGTCCCATGTGCAAGGGGGTCGAGAGGATTCTCCTGGCCAAGCCTGATCTCTCAGGCTTCAGAGGAGTTACCTGGAGCTGGGCTGCACCAGCAGAGGCCAGGGGAACCTGCACTGTCAGCAAGCCCAAAGGTGCCATGGGGATGGAGCTCACCCACTTCTGAACCTCACTGTGAAAGATCAAATTCCCACACACGTGCTTGGGCTGCATTTGGTGCATGGTCCATGGTGGAATATGCATGAGCTCCTGCTCTGGGAGCTCCAGGCAACCCATTCCAAACCCATTATCAAAGACTCATAGATACAAATCCCTTATCAAAGACTCATAGATAGCTTTGGGTTGGAAAGGACCTTAAAGATCATCTCATTCCAAGCCCCCTGCCATGGACAGGGATGCTTCCCACTGTACTAGGTTTCTTCAAGCCCCATCCAGCCTGGCCTTGAACACTTCCAGGGATAGGGTAGTCTCTGGGAAAATTGTGTCCTAACTAACTGTAAGTTACCTTCTCTGGGCTATTATATCAGCTAGAGAGAGAAGGAGGAGGGAGAGTTGTCTACACAGCTGCTCTGGGCAGGATGGCCACAACTCTGTGATGCTCTCTTTGAGAATCCTCTCAGTGATCCTCAAACTGAAAAACCCTTTTGGAGAGCTTTTATCAACCACATGTCCAATTTTCTCATGCTATTCTGGGCATTTCGCTCTCCTTTGTTAAATTCCTGTAGAGGAGTCAGGGCAAATGCACACCTGTATCCCAGGAGCACTCTTCTATTTTACAGTTGCATAAATGGGATCCCATGCCACTCAATTTCTTCTGGGAAGTATCTTATTCCTGTTAAGCTGTAGTTCTCCACAGCTACATCCTTCCTTCTCCTCCAAAACAGCCTGCTTAAAAATTCCTCTGTACTTTTTTTCCTGAAATCAATCAATATTAGGGGTCATCTCATCCTCTCCAAAGAGCCAGTGCTCCTAACAGACCCTCATAATTAGGGCTTGTTTGGATTTGAGCCTGCCCCTTGTGAGCTCATTTGTGCAGGATGCTGGCTTGGAAATGGGCAATTCTGAAGGCAGTCTGTACATGTCTGGCTCCTGGTTTGGATGAAGAAATAGGTTCACTAAATCCTCACAATATTTTCACTATTTCTTCACAAAAAATAACTTTAATCCTTGCTTTCAGTCAAAGAAATGGCAAGGCCTTATTAAACTGTTGCCATTATTCCTTCCACTTTTAAAATGATTGATCTTACAGCTGAGAAAGAAGGGAATAATACATTTTAGACTAGACAAAAGATGGAGCAGGTGCTACATAAACTCTTCCACATTAAAATGACATTGTCTGGACCAGAGGCTGTTAAATTGCTCCGGACACAGGAGTGACTTCAGCACCATGTTCAAAAAACATCACTGAAGTAATAAATTGAGAAATTTGCTCATTTAAGTGAAGATTTTTTGCCAGAAAGTCTCTCCTCAAAATTTCCAAACAAGGAAAGTTCCTGAGTGCAAGCAGAGTGCTGACTGCCAAGTCATCTTTGCTTGCAACTGAGCTCAGAAAAAGTTGTAGAAAGAACCAAACTAATCAATCATGTTTTACCTGCATTTGACTTTAAAAATTACTGTGATTAATGAGGAACTTGTTTGAAAGTATTCGTCCTGGTTTTCGCTGAAATTTTTATATTTTTGTGTTCCCTCTTCTGACATTTTCTCCTAAAGAAGGCAAATTTCCCTCAGAGACTTTGTGAACTGGTTCTCCTTCTGAGCATAAATATGATTAACCATTCTATATAAAGTTCTTCAAAAGCAACTTAAAAATACCCAGGAATTTTCCACTGTAATTGAGGGAGTGGCTCCCTTTGCTTCAAGAAGAATATTTTACAATGCCAGATTGAAAATGTCTGAAACTGATAAAAGCAGACAGATTCTGGAATGTGGTATAAGCCGTTGCTCTAAGGTCTGTTTCCATAACTTAATTTTAATTTCAAATAGAGAACAACAGGATTGGTATGGAAATTATTTGAATATGCTGCCACTGTGAACAAAAATGCAACAATTTTCACCACAGGCTGCTCTGATATGTCCATCCTCTAAAGAAATTATATAAACCATGCATATGTGTTTTACTGGGGAAAAATTGAACCTCCTCACTTCACTATGTCATCATTTTGGAAAACATTTACTGTGTAATCTGTATCCTCAATGTCAGTAGTTATAAAAGTTGTAGAAATAAAGACAGCTACAAAAACAGGTGGGAAAGGCAGAAATATCTCCTCTTGTTATCTTCATCAAGCCAGGACTGAATATTTTG